AAAAGTCACCACCAGACTACAAACAGGAGATATTTGGGGAGACTCTCAGGGCTGGGACATAGGCTCAAATTCTGAGGCCCCATCTCCAAGTGGTGGGTGGGTGGGTTCATGTGGGCACCTGTATCTGTATACTGGGGGAGACAGGAAAAGGGACAGGAGGCAGCTGTGTGTGAGCTGCTTATGCCTGTGGTCAGATACCCCAGCTCCCTCCCACCAGGCTGGCTGCCTCCTGCTCTTACTCACTCTCTGTTCTGTCCCTTACAGGCACCCTTAGGATACCAGGCCCCTGTTTCCCTTCGGTATGCTTTGGGCTAAGTAGGGACTGTGTGGTCCTGGGGAGGGAGGGACAGGGCTGTTCCTTTGGATCTCTGGCTCCCTATATCTCAAGAGAGCCAACAGGGTCTCTTTTAGCCAGACAAACATGTACAAGGATATCCCTCTCCTACCTTGGGGAAAAATCAGTGTTCTACCCTCCTAGGCTCCCATAGCTTCTTCTCATGAGACTACCCACACATGTTTCTGATCTCCCAAACTCAAGTATAAAGTGCTTAGGGCAGAGCTCAGATGTAGAAAATTCCACTCCCGGAAATGTCTTCAGAAATCAATGACATTTCAGACCCCTCCTGCCGGCAGAAAGCCCCACTCCAAGCCCCACCTAACATTGACCTGCCAGCAAACTCTAAAGAAACCCAAAAGTCACCATCAGACTGCAGGCAGGAGATACCTGGGGGGACTCTCAGGGCTGGGACATAGGCTCAATTTCTGAGGCCCCATTCTCCAGCCATCCTGACTCTGTTTCTTAGGAGGGGAAGTCATAGGTTAGGGAGCACCTCACACTTTCCTCAGGAGAAGACACACAACGATGACCCTCAGCCTGGGGACCCCAACTCCAGACCCTCCAGCCCCAAACCTGTCCAGTCAGCCCTGAAAATGCAAGTCTTGTATGAGTTTGAAGCTAGGAACCCACGGGAACTGACTGTGGTCCAGGGAGAAGAGCTGGAGGTGAGGCTTGGGCCAGAGGCTAGAAAAGGAGGTGGTGGTTAGTGGGAGCTACAGGCAGCCAAGGGTGGGTGGTCCAGGGAGGGGGCTGCCAAGGTGGGTGGCCTAGAGAGGGAGAAGGAGGGTAGGAAAGGGCCGGAGGGAGAAAGCCTTGTGTGGGGAGGGCAGGCTGGCTGGACAGAGGCTCAGGGGACTGAGGTGGTGACTCTTGGCAGGTTCTGGACCACAGCAAGCGGTGGTGGCTGGTGAAGAACGAAGCAGGACAGAGCGGCTACATTCCCAGCAACATCCTGGAGCCCCTGCAGTCGGGGACCTCTGGGACCCAGGACCGGTCACCCTCTCGGGTACTACCCAGCCTAGACTATCCAGAGCCCTAAGTTGGAGGTGGGGGTGAGGAGGATTCAGTGGCAAGTGGAGGAGAGAGTCTTGGTTTGATTTAGACCGTATTATTGCATGCTTAGTGTGTGCCAACTTTATCATGGGGCCAGAGCAGAGAATAAGACCAGCTCCCCGCCAGACCAGAAAGCCACAGAGTAAGAGAAGTGATTTGATGGGAACCTAGAGAAGGGACCCAGATGTTAGGGGCTGTGGTTGACTGTGAGATGAGATGGACTCTGACCCCTGGTTCCCCCTGATTCTAGGTTCCAATGCTTCGACTTAGCTCGAGGCCTGAAGAGGTCACAGCCTGGCTGCAGGCAGAGAACTTCTCCGTTGTGTGAGTGCCTGGCCCTACCGGATGTGGAGGGAGAAACTTTATAAAGGGCTAACCAAGGAAACCCAGAGACCCAGAACATACAACCTGGCCTACATTGTACATGACCCCGATCCAGCACTGTCTCTGCTGAGTTAGAGGACAGAGCAGAGGCGTGTTCAAGCCTAGATTAGAGATTAAGTGGGGAACCCTGCTGTGGCAAAGGCAGCAAGGATCAGGGGAGTGGACTCAGGAAGAACCCCAGCTGCCAGCTCAGTCGCCCCACCCCAGCCAGAAGAGTCTCTCCCAGAGCACTTCTTTCAAGCCTGGAAGTTCTGAAATTGGCTGAAGCCAAATGCTGACTTTACTCCTTCACTCCCAGACAGCCTACTCCATGAATTTTTCTGTAACCCCAACCTCCAAGCCCAAAGAGCCCCTTTTCTACCCAAATGCTCAGGCCTAGAGTGCTTCCAGCGCACCACTGATGGCTTTTGCCGTTTTGTTCACAGCACGGTGAGGACACTTGGGTCCCTGACGGGGAGCCAGCTACTTCACATGAGACCTGGGGAGCTACAGATGCTATGTCCACAGGAGGCCCCACGAATCCTGTCCCGGCTGGAGGCTGTCAGAAGGATGCTGGGGGTGAGGACACCCGGGGGTCCTGACACCCATTGGGACTGTCTGGTGCTCCTGGGTGAGAGAGAGTGCGAAGTTGACAAGCCTGCCGGCCCAGCCCTGGGGCAGAACTGAGTGTGGCGGGTGCTGGGCACAGGATATTCCCCCAGGGGCTTAGCTTCATGCATTCATTCAGGCTTACCTTGAGGCTCCAAGCTTATTGGTGGCATAAGCTCTGCAGATCCCTCACCTGCCACCAGCCTCATCTGAATCTTTTTCTTTCCTCAGATAAGCCCTTAGGCACCAGCTTAGACACCTCCAAGAACCAGGCCCTGCTGATGCAAGATGGCAGATCTGATACCCATTAGAGCCCCGAGAATTCCTCTTCTGGATCCCAGTTTGCAGCAAACCCCATGCCCCAGCTCACACAGCGAAAACAATGGACAGGCCCAGAGGCTGAAGCAAACAGTGCCAATTCTGGCTGTGTTGGAGTCTCCCCAGTAACCACCTATTTATTTTATTTCTTTCCCAAACCTGGAGCATTTATGCCTAGGCTTGTCAAGAATCTGTTCAGTCCCTCTCCTTCTCAATAAAAGCATCTTCAAGCTTGTCATGTGCCTCCCTCGCGGCTTCTTCTGGGCCTGAGGGAGACCAAAGGCAGGGAGGCAGGAAGGGCTGGAACACTTGGCATGAAAACAGCAGCAAGCCTACATCCATCACTGAGCCAGATTGTTTGAATGTGAGTGGACATTCACACAGCAACCTGGAACTGGGAATCAGAATTTGAGAATCATGGTCCAAGCTCTCCTGACTCTCTTTCCAAACAAACTCCAAAATAAAGCTATGCTCACCATCTTTTTCACACACGCGTCTCTCAGTATATTCCAAGGCACCCAGCACAGCTGCAGGCACACCACTTCACAGTAGCAAAGAGCACAAGGACCGACAGCTGTGGGCTTTGGTCAGTTGCACCAGCTGGCTGGGTGAACTCCAGCAAGTCATTCCACTCTTTGGGACCCTGTTTTCTCAAGGGTTAAGCAAAGAATCTGGACTGTCCATAGCTTTGTATATTTTTTAGTAAAAGTAGCTTTCTTTAATTTCAAAGGAGTACCCTCTCTACATACCAGTAGCTATACTTGTATTGATTTAGTCAACAGATAAGGCCCAATGTACTTATGGATTTGAGGGTTCTTAAGATGTTCCCTTAAATCTCTCTTAGCTGAATTTGTCCATGACCCTAACATTGTCTGGGCCCCAGACTGCCCTATTTTTAGACTGCCTATGTCATTCCCTTAAGTTCCTGGCCTCAGCAAATCATCTCTCATAGCTGTTAACAGAATAGGAAAGCAACAATTTTCCCTCACAAAAGAGAGAAAAGGTGAGACCCTTTGGGTGTGACTTGTCAAGGGCAAAAGTTACCCAGAAAAGTTAATTTCTTGGGATGAGGGAGAAGGTATTAACCCATCACCCTCTATTGCCTCCCAGAGCTAAAGGAGCCTAGAAGCAGGGAAACTGTTCATGACCAGAAAAAAGTGTTTTCACCTGGTGTTCCCCAGACTTCCCAAGAAGACTGCCTTGCAGCGAGAGGCTGTTTAGATGGCCAAGTGCAGGGAAACTAGCACCAACTGTGTTATTAGACAGATCTAGGTTTGAATCCCAGACCATCTGTGGGACCTCAAGCTTAGAGGAGCAACTCCCCTAACCGCTCCAGGAAGTTTCTTCTAGAAAATGGGCGTAACACCTACTTCCTAAAGTTGTTGTGCAGCTTAAATTGGAATAAATTAGCTAACATACGTAAACACTTAAATATTGCCTGGCATGTGATAGGTACTCAATAAACGCTAATCTTAAACCTCAGGTGAATTTGTGACTGGCCTTTTGCTTTCTTGGGAATGAGAGACACAGGCATTATAAATTTCACCTGTCCCTGTGGTTTGTACTCTTCCTTTCTTCTGTTTAGCAAAATGCCCTTTTTAAAAGTCCCAACCTTGCTTCAGTTGAACTGATGGGCAAATGTGATTTCCCACACCCAAGCTAGGGGATCTAGGAGCTCAGAGTGCCCTGAGGGCTGTGCTGTGGAGGCCTGGCCAGAACCCTCAGAGCTGCTCAGGACTCCTTCCTCTGTCACTCCTCCACAGTCAACTAGAACCCTATCTCTCCCGAGTTGCCCCTGCTGCAAATCTGTGCCCTGTTTCATTTGCATGGGCCCTGCTGAAATTCAGAAGCTTAGTTCTTCCCATGAATATAGGGGCCTCCTGCAGGTCTCTTGCTCTGTCAAGGTCAAAACCCCTACTTTCCTAAATTCAACCATTGATTCTCCATCTTCATCTTACTTCATCAGCCACACTTGACACAGTTGATCACATCTCCCTTTAAACATCTTCACTTGGCTTCCGAGGCCCTTTGTTTTCCTCCTACCTCCCTGGCGATTCCTTTTCAGACTACTTTGCTGGTTCACTCTCATTTTTCCCTAATCTTTACATGTTGATATGCCAGAGCACCTCAAACCCTTAGACCTCATCTCTGCTACTCGCGGTCCCATGGTGATCTCATTTAGTCTCTGGTTTCAAACGCAATCTACAGAGTGATCACTCCTGTACTTGCTGTTTCCCTTTTCCTGGAGTTCTCCCTGCCTCCTGCAGGTAGGAAGTGATTCAAGATAAGAGATGGAGAGAGCTCTTCTGGCCAGGATAGAGGGTGATTCTGAGAAGGCTTCAAGGAATAGGTGAGCTTTTGAGCAAGGCTACTTGAGGAAGGGTAGGCCGTGGACATTAGGGTGCAGGCAGGAGCAGAGCAAACATGCTTGTAAAAGGAACAGCAATTATTCTGTTTTATATTTATATCAGCCCATGGTGGCCCCTACAGCAGAGTGGCTTGATCTCTCACCTCCTTCAGGTCTTTGTTTAAAGATTAACTTCTTCATGAGGCCTTCTATGAACATATCCTTTAAAAACACAAATCCCCTTCCTACTAGGACTCCCCCAATTCCCACCCTGAGACCCCCCCCTTCTCGATTTTATTTCTCTCTATAGGATGTGTATCACCATCTGACTTACTAGATATTTACTATATATTAGTTTATTTATTCCCCATTAGAATGTAAACTTCCTGAGGGCAGGGATTTTGTCTGTTGAGTTCAATTCTGTATCCCCAGTACCTAAAACAGTGCCTGTCCATAACGGGCATGTTAAACATTGTTGGACAGATGAATGAGTGAATGAAAAATGGTAGTACCTTTCCTCCTCCAGTCCATGCTACACAAAGAGGCAAGATTAATTTCCCTAAATGCGTGAGCATTAGGAAGTGGGAGGGGTTGGAGAAGGAGGAAATTATAATAAGGAAACCATAAACTACTTAAGCCCATGAAACAAAGGTAGGAAACATTCAAGGTAAGAGACCTCTTCTGGCCAGGATAGAGGCTGGTTCTGAGAAGACTTCAAGGAGAAGGCAGACATTTGAACAAGGCTGCTGAGGAAGGATAGGCTGTGGATATTAGGCTGCAGGCAGGAGGATCACAGGGCAAACACTCCAAGACGGGAAATGCAAGTGTGTGTAGAAGGAACAGCAAGCATTTTTGGGTTGGGCTGGCTTATGAAGTTGTGACGGGCTGACGGCGAGATAGGACTGGAAAAGCACGTTGGGGTCAGGTTGCAGAGGTCCTTGACTGACAGAGAGGGGAGCTTGGTCTGTGGGGAATCCTCTGCTCTGTGTGGTCAGAGGCTGGTCCGACTCTCCCGCCTTGCCCCAGTCTCCCTATCCCACATTCCAGCCCCGGCTGGCTCGGTAAAAACGGCGCGAATCTCGCTCTCCCTGGGTAACTAGGGTCCCAACTGCCTGGCTAGTGTTGCTTTTCGCGTCTTCACTGACACCATTAATGAATGAAGTCTGGCTCCCACCCGTGGGGAAGGGAGGAGCCCCAACCTCCGGTCCGCTTGCTCGCCTGCAGCGCTCCCGCCCGTGTCCCGCCTCGGCTTGCGAGGCCCTGAACCCCAACACCGACAGAAGTCGCGCCTGCTCACGGCCCCGTGGAGCCGCGGAGGGAGGGGACGGAGAACAGGGCGGAGGCGGAGTCAGGACGCCAGCGCGTGGGCCCCGCCCCCTTATGTCGGGTATAAAGCCCCTCCCGCTCACGGTTTCCCCAGTCCGCCAAGGCTCGGAAACCCTTCACCATGTCGTGCGAGGCGTCTATGGTTTTGGGGTACTGGGATATTCGTGGGGTGAGTGCTGTCTCAACGGTAGAGCCGCTCGGTCAAAGAGACGGACGCGGAGACGGCGGGTCTCTGTGTTCACGGTCTCCGGTAGGAGCAGCTCTACGCGGGAGTATTTTCGAGCTGCCGAGCCACAGACGTCGACCCCTGCCCAGCCTCTGGGATGGCGGGCCCTGTGGGGAGGGGCCGAGGAGACCACGCCGGGGCCGGGCTTGGGGGGCAGCTTAACCACCGGCCCGGCAGGATGCAGGGGCTCGGCAGCCCACATCTAGATGTGTATAAGAGACAGAGGTAATGCCGCTCTGCGTGCCCTTGTAGCCAAGCTGGCCCTCCACCTGCCCAGGTCTTCTTAGGCCCAGAGGGTGGTGGCGTCGCGCCAAGGCCGGGTGGGACGTCTACCCCAGTCTGGATGGATAGCGACACATCCTTTATCTGGAACTCGGAGTTCTCTCTTTAACATAGCCCAACCGCATCTTAATGCTTAACCAAATAGGGCTCAGAGGCTCAATGGTTATGCGTTTGGGGCCCGGGAATTTGAGGTATTGGGACCAAGTCATTTCTTTAGATCTTTCGCTCTTGTCAGGTGAGGTATTAAGGAGGTTGGGTCCCACTTAATTCTGTCTCTTACAGCTCCTGACTATGATCGAAGCCAATGGCTGGATGTGAAATTCAAGCTGGACCTGGATTTTCCTAATGTAAGTGGCTTTAGTAGAGGTGGCGGGCAGAAGGGAAAGCCTTCAAGTGTATCCATCCTTGCCTCTTTCCTGCCTGGTACAGAAGGATGCAAAATAGGGGATCTTAACCTGGATAGAATAAATAGAATTCAGGGGTCCTTCAACTGGATGGATATGTATTTTCATTCCCATTAACCACTAGCAACAGTGATTTCCTTTTATTGTGAAGAGAGACAATAAGTGACATTGGTTATTAGCCGTGTCTGTCACTTTGTCACTAGTAGAAATCAGGTATTTTCTTTTTTGTGTGTTTTTTGTTCTTTTGTTTTGGGACAGGGTCTCTGTTGCTTAGGCTGGAGTGCAGTGGCACAATCGCAGCTCACTGCAGCCTCAACCTCCCAGGCTCAAGCAGTCCTCCCACCTCAGCCTCCCAAGGAGCTGGGACTACAGGCACAGGCCACCATGCCCAGCTAATTTTCGTATTTTTGTTAGAGATGGGGTTTTGCCATGTTACCCAGGCCGATCCTGAACTCCTGGGCTCAAACAATCCTCCCACCTTGGCCTTCCAAAGTGTTGGGATTATAGGCGTGAACCACTGTGCCCAGCCTGAAATCAGGTAGTTTTATATTCTATTAAACGCATTGCAGATATTTTAAGTGATATTTATATACGTGTAAATAAATATATACATATGTTATTTACTTTGAGACTATGTTAGTCATTACATCTGCTTACTATTTAATGCATTAATAGGCATGTTACGCTATTTGAATTTTTTAAAATATTTTTTGGTTGTGTAAATAATCTATTTTGCTTCATGCTTTTAACAACTTTATTCTGAGAAAAGGTCCATGGCATGCACATACACCCACACATACACACACTGATTTAAGAACCCCTGTCTAGAATCTCGTGGACCCAGTTGCTGCCTTCTACTTATTTTCTTTTTTCTCCTAATGCAGCATCTTCTCTTTCTTGTTCACTGCCCTGCAAGTATTCTTTTCCCCAGGAGAGAGAGGTAGGGAATCAAGAGAGAGGTAGGTTGTTCATCTGGCCTGTCCTTTTCCTTTCAGCTGCCCTACCTCATGGATGGGAAGAACAAGATCACCCAGAGCAATGCCATCTTGCGCTACATTGCTCGCAAGCACAACATGTGTGAGTGGGGTAGGGCTGGGGAGGGACCCCAGGCTGGTAGTTTGTCTGAGAGTGGACAATGCCAAGGGTGATTTGTTATCATTTGGCCTACAGGTGGTGAGACTGAGGAAGAAAAGATTCGAGTGGACATCATAGAGAACCAAGTAATGGATTTCCGCACACAACTGATAAGGCTGTGTTACAGCTCTGAGCACGTGAGTTTCTTTAGCACACATCTGCTGAATGGAGTATCAGAAAAAGGGGTATTTAGGAACCCAAGGGTTATCTCTGTTTCATTCTGCTGCTGCTACCTTCCCACCAACCCAGATTATTAGAATAAGAAACAGAACTTACAATTTTTGGTTTGTTTTGTCATGTAATTCCGGTTCTGGTGCCTCTTCTTTCCAAACTCCTCCTTCCCACCCTGCCATCCTCAAGTGAAGGCAATGAGAAGCCACCTAGAGAAGGGGCTACTAAATGTCCATCACTGGCCTGTGCCCTGATTAACTACAGAAGTGATCACGACTATTCTCATTCTGTTTTTTCCTCTTAGGAAAAACTGAAGCCTCAGTACTTGGAAGAGCTACCTGGACAACTGAAACAATTCTCCATGTTTCTGGGGAAATGCTCATGGTTTGCAGGGGAAAAGGTAGGAAGAAGGGAAAAGAAGAGCATACCTTCTATCTCTGCAGGCTACTACTCCTCAGATCCAAGCATCTTATTGCTTTTCTTCTAGCTCACCTTTGTGGATTTTCTCACCTATGATATCTTGGATCAGAACCGTATATTTGAGCCCAAGTGCCTGGATGAGTTCCCAAACCTGAAGGCTTTTATGTGCCGTTTTGAGGTGATGTTTCCTGCACCTTTCTCTTATAAAAACACTCACAGGCTTCCTTGGGCCCTGTAGGATCCCGTTGTGGTGGATTCTTGCCTGGCTTTTGCCTGAAGGGATCAATGGTTGGACACCTCTAGACCTTTAAGTCTTGGGAAAAGCCTGACTTCTACACCTTGAAGGCACTGTCTACAAAAAGTGGAGGAGGTAGACATAGGCAACATGTGAATGTTGCTGTTTTGGTATGCATCTGTTGGACTGGATTGGGGTCTTTATAAGATTTGGTGTATTTTCCTTTCAGGCTTTGGAGAAAATCGCTGCCTATATACAGTCTGATCAGTTCTTCAAGATGCCCATCAACAACAAGATGGCCCAGTGGGGCAACAAGCCTGTATGCTGAGCAGGAGGTAGACTTGCAGAGCTTGTTTTGTTTCATCCTGTCCCTAAGGGATCAGCACTCTTTCTTTGCTCTTTTCAATAAATAGCATTTAGGTTACTGGTGTCCAGCTGAATTTCTCTTGGGTATAAAGGCTAAAAGGGAAAAAGAATAAGTGGAGAATCATCAAGATATGAATTGAATCACTGCAACACTGGCATCCCCCTACTCCCCAACTGAGTTCAAGCACTGTAGGTTCATGCCCAAGCCTTGAGAGTGGGTACTAGAAAAAGATTGCACAGTTGGAGAGAGCAGGTATGTTAAATGGGACTGGAGTCCCTGTGAAGACTGGGTGAAGTAAAACTGTGGTACTGATGGACTTAACTGGAGTTCAAAAACCATCCTGTGTACACATGGGAGTTTAGTGTGATAAAGGTAGTATTTCAGACTGGTGGTCTAGCCAGTAGAGTTGGGACAATTGCTTACTCATTAAAAATAATAGACCCCCCCCACTTGACACTATTCACTAAAATCTGGAATTTAAGACCCAACATTAAACACAGAGCTGTTGAAGTATTGATGAAAATGTAAGAATTTTTGTGACTGTGGGGTAGGAGAAGTTTCTTTAAAGACATAAGAAAAAACCATAGGCTGCTCTGCCTGTGGAGTAGCCATTCTTTATTCTTTTACTTTTTTAAACAATAACAAAATCACAAAGGAAAGATTTACCAATTGAATAGGGTCAAATTCTACAACTTTTCCTAAGGCACACACAATAAATGACAAGTGAGACAAAGAGCACTAGTATAAAGATTATATAAAGACCTGTAAATCATTAAGACAACTGAGTTCTTAAAAATGGACAAAATCAATGAATAATTTGTAAAGTAGAAATGTGACCAAAAACATCTAAAAGATGTTTATAATGCAAGGAACTATAAATTACAACAGTGAGAAACCATATTTCCTTCTATCCAATGAGTAAAAAGTTCCTAAAGTGTTGGCAAGGCTTGGGAAAGTGATATGCATTTCCTGCTGGTCAACTTGTAAATTAGTATAGCTACTTTGGAGGACAATTTAGCAACATCTGCTAAAATTTAAATCATATCCTATGACCCAGCAATTCCATGCTATAAAAACTCATCCGTGGCTGGGCTTGGTGGCTTACACCTGTAATCCCAGCACTTTGGGAGGCTGAGGTGGGAGGATCACAAGGTCAAGAGATCGAGACCATCCTAGCCAACATGGTGAAACTCCATTTCTACTAAAAATATAAAAATTAGCTGGGCATGGTGGCATGTGCCTATAGTCCCAGCTACTCAGGAGGCTAAGGCAGGAGGATTGCTTGAACCCAGGAGGCAGAGTTTGCAGTGAGCTGAGATCACGCCACTGCACTCCAACCTGGCTACAGAGCGAGACTCTGTCTCAAAAAAATAAAAAACCTCATTCAAAGAGGCATATACTAAGATGTTCACTGTGGCATTATTTGTAATGACAGATAAGCAGAAACCATGTAAATACCTGTCAATACTATGGAGTACCACGTGGCAGTGGAAGAATGAGACTGAACTGTGTGAACTAACATGCAAAGATCCCCAAAACAGGCCAGTTGTGGTTGCTCACAGCTGTAATAACCACACTTTCAGAGGCTGAGGTGGGAGGATCACTTGAGGCCAGGAGTTTAAGACCAGCCTGGGCAACATAGTGAGACCCCTGTCTCCCAAAAAAAATTTTTTTAGCTGGGCACAGTTGCTCATGCATAGTCCCAGCTACTCAGGAGGCTGAGGTGGGAGGATTGCTTGAGCCCAGGAATTTGAAGCTGCAGTGAGCTGTGTTCTTGCCACTGCACTCCAACCTGGGTGACTGAGCAAGACGCTATCTCTTAAAAAAATAAAAAAGATCTCCAGGCATAGAGAAGAGTCTGGAGGGAAACACCAAACTCATAACAGGCTTACTGTAGGCAAGTGGGATAAAGGCCCAGACTCCATGGTGGAAGTTAAAGGGCATTTCCAAGTTAAGGCTAAGACTTGCTTTTCTAACTAAGAGAATGTACTTATGCATTGCTTGTGTAGTAGAAACTAGTTTTAAGAAAAGAAAGCAAACTTAAGAAACACTGACTCCTTTGGAGATGACTTGGCACCACTCTCCGTTCACAGAGCAGAGTCCGAATAGTCTTCAGAGACAGGCCTGTAGGCCAAATTGTCATCCCCTATGGACCAGAAGCCAAGGATCTCTCTAGTGATGGTTAGAGGGCCCAAATGGCAGGGATACCCAGTGATGTCAGGAGGAATAGTACAGACAGAAGGTGCTAAGCAGACAGTTCAACTGCCATGTTTTGCCACCCCCTGTGAGCCGGGATTAGGTGTTCAGGCCAGTTTCTTGGGCATGGGGAGCCTTTGGCCAGAAGAGGTATAAAGCTCAGAAGTTTTTCATTCTGATAACTATTGATATAATTTTCATAGTGTGAGGGAGTGGTATGCTTTAAGGAAAGGCCTTGTGTATTTAAGGGAGGCCAGAGAAATTGAGGATGTCCCTGGGGCTAGATCAGTGCTATGACCAGAAATCAAAAAGGGAATGCATTATTTATTGCTGTGTAACACTATTCAGAGGAGGTAGTTAAGGGATGGATAGGCACATAGAGAGGGAGGGTCTCAGGAGAAGGGAGAGAAAGGAACTATGTTCACAAGAACAACTGTGGGACAGCCCCTATACTGCCTCTACAGTTAACAGGAAAAATGTAAGAACTTACCCTTAAGCTAGGATGTTGCTCAGAAGTGACCGTCCCAACTTTGGTGCAGGCACAATAAATCAACCTAAATTTCCCTAATTTAACCCAGCTCATTATAATGTCATTAAACATGACATTAGCATTGTGGTTTTAGCACCCCCATGGGTTTTGCTTAGGCACTCATGGGTAATAACCAAGATGGAGTCACTTTGGCAAACCTTAGGCATGCACAGCTGTAGTACCCCAAGGAGAAAATGTTACCTCTCCCATCTGGGCAAAACCCACAGAAGACTTCCTGGCTTCTGCCACATAAAAGACACAGAACACAGATGTCTTACTGACAACCTGCTTTCAAGACCCCTGTCTTTGCTGAGAGCTTTCCTTTTTCCCAGTAGATTCTACTCTGCCCTACTCACTCTCCACGTCCATGTGCCTAATTTTTCATGGTCATGGGACAAGAGCCTGAACCTTGCCATACTCCAGGGGCAAAGGAAGACTTCTAAACTATTCCCACAGATGTAGCAGCCTAAAACAATACATGTTTATCGTCTCCAAGTTTTGTGGATTAGGAGTCTGGGCACAGCTGAACTGGGTCCTCTGCTCAGGGTCTCATCTGAAAACTGCACTCAGTGGGTCAGCCAGAGCTTTGATCTCACCCCCACGTTCAGTGGGGGGAAAGATCTGCCTCCAAGTGTGTGTAATTATTGATAGCATCAGTTCTTTGTTTCTTGTGGGACAGAGGTCCTCCATTTATCATTGGCTGTCAGCTAGAGCCACCTTCAGCTCCTTGCAAAAGGGGCCTCCTCAACATGACCACCCATTTCACCAAAGCTAGTTAAAGGCGTCTCCTGGAAGAAGGAACACTACAGTCCTATGTATTCTAATCACAGCAGTGACATCCCATCACCTGTTCTTATTCTATTAGAAGCAAGTCACTGGCCCCACCCACACTCAAGGACATGAGTACTAGGAGGTGGGATCATGGGGGTCATCTTATAGTCTGCTCACCACAAGAGAAGAAGGAAGGAAACGGGAGATTGGTCCTGCAGTCCTCTGAGAAAAATATCCCGGGAAAGACAGATGACAAGAGAAAGCAGCAAGGTAGGGAATGAGCAGTTTGCAAGGGAGAAGTTTTAAAAATTCAAGTCTGCAGGTGAAATGTATTTCACATGAATTCCAGATAGACAGATCACGTAGGCAAATCACATGTTTCAATTTTTTTTAATTATTATGTTTGTTAGTGAAAATCCACTCAACAGTTATGTAAAACCTGGACCTTACTGGTCCAGAAAGCAGGGAACAGGGAACACTGAGAGGAACAGACCCTTTCCACAAGAGAGGTGGATCCCCAGTTCTCAATAAGCTCCCAGTTCTAACTCTAATATGGGCCAAGAAAAGAATGCTGTCACAATGGCTGCCTTCAAGCAAGTGGCAGAGGTAGGGGAGTGGCTGGGAGCACATCCAAGGCACAGAGGCACAATAGTGATGGGTTTATACAAGTAGCATCAGTAAGGGCTTAAAAGAAAACTTGAAACAGGTGCATTAGATTTGGTGGAGCAGTTCCCCAAAGTGTTAGGGAAACTCATTTGTATTCATTGTTGCAGGTTGAGCAACTGGGCATTTCTAATTCAGAAAGAAATAGCTTATGTGATTAAAGGAAAGTTTGTTTTAGAGTTTTTTCACTGTTATAGGGAGAGAGGGACAGGTGTAGTCATGGACACAGATCTGCCTTTAAAGCCAGTTTAAGAAGCACTTATGAAAACACTTGGACTGTGTATAGAAATTGCACATTCCTTATCCTTCAACTGCAGTACAGGTGGAGCAAATGAGCCACACAGAAAAAGAGGACTTAGAAAGTTCAGATGGTTGGTGGGGGAAGGGAAGAAATAAAATTCAGTGGGTGATTTTTCTAATGTGTAAATTTGTTCACATCACTCCCCTGCTTAAAGATGTTTAGTGGCTTCTAAGACCTCAGGGGGGGTGGGGGAGGAAACTGTCTTCTCAGGCTTACCTTCACAACCTCACCTCTGCTCACTTTCCAGTGGCATCCTTGGCATGTGCCCTCCCCCTGCTGCCCTGGAGAACTGGGTCCAGTCCTCCCTTTATGAATTTCCAAGGGAGCAGCACTATATGGTGCTCAGAAGCATGGACTCCAGAGCCAGGCCATCTGGGTTCAGATCCTGGCTTTGCCCCAGGTAAATGGTGGCCTCCTGTGCTCAGTGTCTTCTTTGTTAAATGAACCCTCTCTCACAAGGTTGTTATGATAAGGGAGGAGACCACCCCTCATATTGTCTTGTGCCCAATTTCTGCCTCAAAGAAAAAGTAGGAGTTAAAGAAAAGACAGAAATGAAATCAGTAGTCAGACAGCCTGGCGCTGCATTCCAGGCCTGGTAGTTAAAGATCAACCCCTGATCTAACTAGTTCTGTTATCTATAGATTCTAGACATTGTATGGAAAAGCAATGTGAAAATCCCTGTGCTGTTCTTTTCCATTCTGATTACTGGTGCATGTAGCCCCCAGTCACATACCCCCCGCTTGCTCAATCGATCATGATCCTCTCACATGGACCCCCTTACAGTTGTAAGCCCTTAAAAGGGACAGGAATTGATCACTTGGGAAGCTTGGTTTTTGGAGACGTGAGTCCACCAGTGCTCCCAGCTGAATAAAGCCCTTTCCTTCCACAACTTGGTGTCTGAGGAGTTCTTGTCTGCGGCTCATCCTGCTACATTTCTTGGTTCTCTGACCAGGAATTGAGGTGATTAATGGACGGTCGAGGCAGCTCCTTAGGCAGCTTAGGCTACCCTGTGGAGCATCCCTGTGGGGGACTCCAGTCAGCTTGAAAGATGCAGATC